GAAAACTGGCCTTTCTAGAGGTGTGCCTGGCAGCAGGGATGGAAAAGAGCCCAGGAAGAATTAACAACAAATGACATCTCAGCAAATTGGCCCTGCCACGGGAAGGACAACCTGCCTCAAGTCTAAATCTTTGGGGTCATTCCTGAATAATCAAAACCTCAAATACTAAACCTGCAAATGCCAAAGGGTCTACTGAGATGACCACAGTCAAAAGCTTCACGATAAAAAGAAGTTTTGCCATCTTGTTCTTGGCCCTGGGACACACACTTTTAATCAACGGCTGGTGGTGTGACAAAGCTTCCAGAGACAATGTTAGGTTCTGTCTTAGCATCTGTCCTCACTTTGGAAGGGACCGAAATCCACTCTTTTTTATTTTCGTAAGACCTGGCCCCAGACTCCATAAAAGTCCCTGGAGGACAGTGGCAGATTTCCTCATACTACAAATTCTGGCCCGAACAACCCAGTCCCTGAGGAGGGCGTCTTGGTGTACCAGAAACCACCAGAACAGTTTCTGGCACCAAACCACACCCTCCTGTGCCAAGAGGTTCCAGGAAAACTAGCACATCCCAGGATCGGGAGGAAGTAAGGCAGCAACTGGGGACTTTTTCCTAATGAGTCCAATAAATCCTTGGAAAAATAATCTACCAAGGGTCAAATATATGTAGAAAACAACTCCGTAGGCTTTGGAAGCTTTTTTTTCCCCCGAGGAGAGAGAAAAATAAAAAATATTCCATGTATTGGCTTTTAAAATAAAAAGAAAAATGGGAATATAAAACCCATCAAGAAATACAAGAAATCTATAAACTTTAGTTCTGTGTTATGGCTAGTTAATGGGAGGGAGAGAAAAGGAAAAGGTGAAATGGAGGAGAGAAGGAAGGGAAAGGAGGAAGCAGAGCAAGAGTAAGAGACGAGAATGGGGGAGAAATTTGAAGGTCAGAGAAAGAAACACAATAGTATTTCAGAGACGCAGAGACACAAAGCACAGGAGAGCAAAACACCGTGAGAGCTCACCAGACGGAGAAAGTGAGCTCACAAAAGACGATGTGAGATTACGTTCTTTGACGGTAAATCACTGTCATCACACCTTCCTATTTACACAAGCTTCTTAGAAGCATGGAAAGTCAGAGCTCCCAGGACATGAGCTCATCTCATCCAATCCTTTCTGTACTGGGTTGAAGAATGTCCCCTCAAAATTCATGTCCACCTGGAATATCAGGATGTGAGCTTATTTGGAAATAGGGTCTCAGCACATGTAATTAGTTAAGATGGGATCCTACTGGAGTAGGGTGGACCCTAAATTCAGTAACTGGTGTCCTTATAAGAAGGCCATGTGAAGGCCCAGACACACACGGAAGAATGCCATGTGATGACAGAGGCAGGGACTGCAGTGGTGTGGCTGCAAGCCAAGGAATGTCAAGGTTCTCCAACAACCAGCAGAAGCTGGAAGAGGCAAAGGAGTCCTCCCTACAACCTTTGGAGGGTGCATGGCATTGCCGACACCTTGATGTCAGGCCTACGGTGTCCACAACTGTGCAAGAATGGGTTTCAGTTGTTTCAAGCCACCTAGTTTGTGGTCATTTGTTATGGTAGTCCCGGGAAACATACATTTTCTTTTGCAGGAGAGGAACCCTAGGACGTGTGACACATCCAACGTCACATAGTCAACTGGTGGCCAATCCTCCATTCCGACTTCTATTTTTTGTAGAATTTTATTTGCTTTTCAGCATCCTTCAGCCTATCTCAACATGGAAATAATGTTTCTATTCTATTGTCAAAGTTCATTTTGAAATAAGGGCTCATTTCCTATTGAATTATGAAGTTTATATGAAGGGACAATTCGGGCTTTAGAAAAATACTTCAGACTGTGAAGTTTTTCAATAAATTTACTGCCGGTTCCTCTGGTATTCCAAAACATTCTAATACAAGAGCTTGTTACTCTTGAGAGACAAGAGCTGCCGCTTTCGAGCATTGAAATCGGCATTTGTTTCCTTACTCTGAGCAACTTTCTAAAGGCAGGCCAGGTCCTGCTAGGGATATAGGATGTAAAACTATTGTTCAGTAGACGCTCGATGAGAAATGTGCTGACTGCCATTCTGGAGTTTGTAACTGACACCGTATCATGTGGAGCGTAGGTGAGTTTTTAATTATTTAGAAGTTCTTAATCCTTTTTTGGATCTTGTCTCCCTTTGAGAAATGGATAAAAACTATGGATTCTCTCTCAGAAAATGGCACACCTTCTCAGCTTTCTCACCTACTCTCCGGGAGTTCCCAGACACTGTGCCCCACCCCCCCACCCTGTGGCCCCCAAGTTGAGAGCCTCAGGGGAGACATTTCTTTCCAGTGTCCATGTTTATTTTATTTTATTTTATTTTATTTTAATTTATTTTATTTTATTTTATTTTTGGAGACAGAGTCTCACTTTGTTGCCCAGGCTAGAGGGAGTGCCATGGCATCAGCCTAGCTCACAGCAACCTCAAACTCCTGGGCTCAGGCGATCCTCCTGTCTCAGCCTCCCAAGTAGCTAAGACTACAGGCATGTGCCACCATGCCCGGCTAATTTTTTGTATATATATTTTTAGTTGGCCAATTAATTTCTTTCTATTTATAGTAGAGACAGGGTCTCGCTCTTGCTCAGGCTGGTTTTGAACTCCTGACCTCGAGCAATCCGCCCACCTCTGCCTCCCAGAGTGCTAGGATTACAGGCGTGAGCCACCGGGCCCGGCCTTAGTGTCCATGTTTATTTATTCCACATGGTGCCAGGCAGGGGCCGAATGTGGGAAGAAATTCTACAACGTGAGGACACAAGAGGGAGCTGTGAGTCCCGTGGCCAAGATGGCCGCCTCTCCCAGAGTGGATGTTCTTGAGACGCCGCAGGCTTGGACGCTTGCTTGTGCCAGCTGTTAGGGAGGCTGAAGCCAGAGTCCTGGGTTTGGAGCTCTGCCAAGGAAGATCCCTGAGTGTGCAGTGTCCTCCTCAGAAACACAGGCAGAGAGGCCGGGCGCGGTGGCTCACGCCTGTAATCCTAGCACTCTGGGAGGCCGAGGAGGGAGGATTGCTTGAGCTCAGGAGTTCAAGACCAGCCTCAACAAGAACAAGACCCCATCTCTACTAAAAATTGAAAAAATTAGCCGGCCATGGTGGCGCGTGCCTGTAGTCCCAGCTACTCGGGAGGCTGAGGCAGGAGGATAACTTGAGCCCCGGAGTTTGAGGTTGCTGTGAGCTAGGCTGACGCCACAGCACTCTAGCCCAGGTGAAAGAGACTCCGTCTCAAAAAAAAGAGAGAGGAAGTAATTTAAAAGTCATGGGTGCTCCATAAATAGGGCACCAGCAGGAGGAACAGGGTCTTCACAGCTGCCATGGCAATGGCCCTTATCTGGAGGTGACAAGGGACTGAGGAGTTGACACTGGGGCTCAGGCTCTTCCCAGATCATTGACACATCATACTAGAATGTCATTAGAGGACATTAGTCCTTTGGCTTTAATCTGAGTCCATGGCTCTGAAAACTTGGAAATTGTATGACATTATTGTGATACATTCGTATGTGTGTGTGTGTGTGTGTTGGTAGAGGGGTAGAGGGGAATCCATAGCTTTCATCGTATTTTCAAGAGTATCAAAGGCTCAAATGTTAAAAATCATGACTCTAATCTCATTTTAGAGATAAGGCAACTGAAGCTCAGAGGTTAAGAGGCTCCTTAGAGTGTCTGTAGTTTGGATCTGGCAGAGCTGGGTAGGGCCAGGGGGTTGGGGCTCTCTGCTGGGCCACAGGGCCTCAGGGCCAGCGAGGTGAGGAGAGGTCCCCAGGCCTGGGGAGGGTGGTGCTCTGCCAGTAAGGCTACCAAATAAAACAGGATGGCCTGTCACATTTAACATTCAGAGATACTAATTTCTTAGTGTAAGTATAATCCCAAACATCACATGGGATACACTTGCACTAAGAAATTACTCGTTTTTTAAATCTGAAATTCAAATTTAACTGGACATCTTGGATTTTTACTATTTTTATTTTTGTTAACTCTCACAGGTATCTGCCAGGGATAGCCTAGTAGTCTTCAGCTGGGAAGCAAACAGGAAGGCATCAGCCAGTGGATCTTAACGGCTCAGTGTTGAGACTCACACTAGCTCTGGCCCCAATTTCAGTAAAGGCCACATAGTCCCTGGGTCTGTGTAAGAGTCAGTCTGCTGGGGAGACCTGCGTGGTCCTGTGTGTGACTTCAGAGGCCTGAGGAGTCCCCAGCACTACAGATATTCTATTTGCACGTGGCCTCGCAGAAGACGACACCGCACAGATCTGTGAAGAGTAAAGATCAAATTTATTTAATACAACATCCTTCGGGGTCCCTGCTCCTGTGTCACTGGGAACAGGGAAAGTGATTTTGGTTAGATGTGGTGCTCACTGGTGAAATCCCACAGCGAAACGGCCGCGGCCCCTCTCCCAGCCACTCAATACACCGTCAGAAACAGCCTAAGACCTTAGATGACCATTTCTTTAGCAAGGAATAAATAAAAAAAAAATTAGTAAGAAAAATATGCATTTCATTTTTCTACTAAAAATAATATTTGCTGTAGGCAACCGTCTTCCTGTCGCTCAGCCTTCAGCACGGTGGAGGAAAAGAAAGGGGATAGTAGAAAAATAGCTTAAAAGGCCAGGCATAGTGGCTCACGCCTGTAATCCTAGCACTCTGGGAGGCCGAGGCAGGAGGATCACTCAAGGTCAGGAGTTCGAAACCAGCCTGAACAAGAGCGAGGCTCCATCTCTACTAAAAATAGAAAGAAATTAATCGGCCAACTAAAAATATATAGAGAAAGAATTAGCCGGGCATGGTGGCGCATGCCTGTAGTCCCAGCAACTCGGGAGGCTGAGGCAGGAGGCTCGCTTGAGCCCAGGAGTTTGAGGTTGCTGTGAGCTAGGCTGACGCAATAGGACCTTAGCCCGAGCAACAGAGGGAGACTGACTCAAAAAAAAAAAAGAAAAAGAAAAATGGCTTAAGAACATCTGTGCCTGTTCCACCTTCATTTTCTAGTGTGCGCATCGCCTGAAGGAACCTCGTCTTCGTGTTGGCATGTCAAAGGAGTTGGACCCAAGCAGCTTTCTGTTCCCGTATGTGGTGGGTGAGGTCACAGAGGGGACAGGGTGAAGTTGTCTGGTCAGTGCTGTGTACTTCCAAAGGACAAGGACTACCCAGACCTACAGGCCTTTGAAGGACCAAAGGAAAAGGAAAAAACTAGCCCCTAAACCAGGCCATTTGTTGGAAGTGATTGACTACAAAACAAAAATCAGTTTCTGTGTACGAGGGCGCAAGGAAAAGGTCTTTATCTCTGTATAAGACACAATATTCAAGTTTCAAAATATCCCAATGGCCTATTGACCCTGAACCTCCTCTGCTCTTCCAATCACAAGGATGCTCCAACTTGATGGAAGGAGGGCCGTGCGGGAAATTAAACAGCCCCCCTGTGTCTCTTTAGATGCAAAGTTAATGCAGTAGGATGGATTTAAGAACCGGTGGCTCGGCCTGAGGAACTGCTATGTCCGGTGGAAGCGGGGCAGGCTCCTAACTGCACAGAGCTCTTGGAACGCAGGGATCATCCGTTCTTGGAACGCAGACGTCCTCCCAGGCATGAGGGTCTGCCCTCGCTGTCTAAGTTCCATCAAGGGAGCCTTCCGTTCTCTGTAGTGACGAGAGACAAGACAAGCTATGGTCACGCACCTGAGGATTGAGATTGCCCTGGTGGAAGGAAATGCAAAATGGCAGACAGCACTTCTCAAAGGAACTCCAAAGCAGGGCTGTCACCTGCTGGTCCCCTACCCTTTGGGGGTGGGGGAAGCTCCTGCCCACAGGGACTTCTGCTTCTCTTATGCCTGCTCTGTAGGGCCAGTGGCCTCTGTCCCTATATACACGTTGCACATTAGTCCTTCAAGTCACCTCATCAAGTGCCCACGTGCACCCAGCATGGTGTCCCATGGTTGCTCTACTTCCCTGCAGAAGCAGGATGGAACATAAGAGATCTGGCTTCTAGTTCCAGTTCTGCCCCAAATAACATGAGGTATACTCTCTTGAGGACTATTTATAATTTTAAGAATGAACAACTGATAGGCTGGGGAATTGTGGCTCACACCTGTAATCCTAGCACTTTGGGAGGCTGAGGCAGGATTACTTGAGGCCAGGAGTTTGAGACCAGCCTGAGCAAGAATGAGACCCCGTCTCTACAAAAAATAGAAAAATTAGCTCCATGCCTGTAGTCCCAGCTATTTGGGGGGCTGAGACAGGAGGCTCACTGGAGCCCAGGTATTGAGATTGCAGTGAGTTATGATGAGATGACGCCACTGCACTCTAGTCCAGGTGACAGGGTGAGACACTGTATGATTCTGCATTAAAAAAAAGAATGACTCAAACCTTCTTATTCAAAAACTGAGAAAAAAAAAAAGAATGACATTCTGATACATTTCAACATGGATGAACCTTGAAAGCATTATGCTAAATGAAATAAAGTAGTCAAGAAAGGACAAATATCATATGATTCTGCTTATATTATGTATCTACAATGGCCAAATTCACAAAGACAGAAGGGAGAACAATGGCTGCTGGGGTGGGGGAGGGGCAACAAGGAATTACTGGTTAACGGGTACAGTGTTTCAGTTTGGGATGATGAAAAAGTTATGGGATGGACAGTGGTGATGCACAGCAATGTGAATGCACTTACTACAACTGAATTATACATTTTAAAATGGTTAAAATGATAAATTTCAAGTTATGTATATTTCACCAAAAAAAAAAAAAAAAGGATTCCTTATGCCATCTTGTAGTGTTCTTTAACAGCTTCAAACAATATCATGCTTGTGTCACCAACACACCTACCAGGGCCCGGATCCTTATCTGACTCGTACACTGTTCTCTACGCTGAGGATGCAAGAACCTGCCCCCAAGAACTTTATGTTCTATCAATTATTGATAAACAGCACTCCTGTGAAGTGGAAGGTAGAAGAGGCCATAAGAAACTGCAGAAGGGTTAGGATCAGAGACAGTGAGAGGATCCTGGGCTGGGCAGTGAGGGAATCATGGAAACGACTCCAGTGCTTCAAAGATTGGATTTTGACAATGGCAGCAGCCCTTGCAAGACAAAAGGGTGGGGCACGCTGGGAGACACTGGAGTAGAGGAGGCCCCCGGGCACCAGTGGGTCCTGAAGAGCAGGGCGCATCTAAGTCCACTTGAGCACAGGACACCTGGACCGTCCTTGAGCACAGGACACCCTGATGCAGGTGGAACTCGAGGAAGCAAGGGAGGCATCCAAGATGCAGGATGACTCAGGGTCTTGGGAACCCCATGGCCAGGCTGGTTGGCTTCCTGAGGGTGAGCTAAGATAGTGTCTCCATTTCGCTGTGGCCCTGTTGGGTCTGAGGACCCTTAGGAACAGGATGCAGGGCCGAGGCAGCCCAAATAGAAGGCCAAGGCTCTGGCTCCTCCTTTGCCAGGAGACGCCCTGCAAGCGGGCCAAGAAAGCTGTGCTGGCCCCGCCGGCTGGAGGCCTGCCAGGCCTGGCAGCCGCCCTCACCCCGTTTCCTCCACCCCGCCCGGGGGAGGGAGACACAACTCTAGTCTCCAGCTTTTCTGTAGGCCCTAGACCAAGTCCCTCCCCAGACACCTCCGATGTTCCTCTCTGGGGGCAGCTAGTGCCCAGGGCACTGCTGCAGAACCAACGCCACAGACAGGAAGGGCTGGGCCACCGTCAACAGGGCCTTGGGGTTTTCAAGTAAAGGTTAGCACGCTCACATCCAAGGCCTGGGCTTGCTGCGCTTAAACCAGAGGCCATCAGCCACCAAAGTACAGCCGTGAAACCGCCTTGCTTTTGGCCAGAACATGGTGTGAACCCCCTCGAAGGCCCTTTTGCTTCCAACACCCCCTGCGATCTCTAATTCCTGCTTCCAGAAAGTGCCACTATGAGCACTTCCAATAAAGCAGGTCTGTGCTAGGTGCTCATCCAATCCTTGCAACAACCAGGGGAGGGAGTTTGATGACTCCCAGTTTGTAGAGGAGGAAGCAGCGGCCCCTAGAGGCTAAGAAATCCGCCCACGATGACACGGCTAGGAAGCGACAAGTCGAGTTTTAATGTGGGTCTGAGATTCCTGAAGTGAAAGCTGCGCTTTGGTTGAATCCCATGTTGGGTAAGCAACCGCCTCCCTGTGCGGCGGGCCGCATGATGTCAATCCCCCATCCACATCTGCTGATGCCAAAGTGTTTGCTGAAAAGAGCTTTAAAGTGGGTAATCCACTAGCTTTCACGGTGGGGGGGGGCATTTGCACTTTGCAAAGATTATCATTTAAGAGATAGCATTTAAAAAGAAAATGTAAGAAAATTCTAGCAGGGAGCTGTTACTGTTGTTGCTGTTATCATCCTCCTCCTCCTCTTCCTCCTGTTTCACAGATGGAGAAGCTTCAGCTAGAGGAAGATGGGATGACTCAAAGCTGGGAAGCTGGAACTCACCCTTCCGTCTCCCCACTCCTGAGAAGGACCCCTCCTGCTGGCCCCAAGGAAAGCAGGGCAGACCAGCTGTAGCCGGCAATTGTCTTTTCTCTGTAACAAGGCAGGGTTCTCTCCAAGATCCCAAGACCCTCGCGGGTCCAGATTCACCCCTTGCGGTTAAGGACAGGGTGTTCTCTTTCACGTTATCTGTCTGCCTCGGCCACAAACACAATTTATAAACAAGGTAAAAATGGCAGAGGAAAAATGAAGTCAGAATGTGCCATTGAAGCAAGTCAAACAATACCAAATTAGTATTTGGCTAAGTGGCTATCTCATTGTTAAGATATTTCCTCCAATATGTTTTCAGAGGCAACGGCCATTAAACAACTGGGAGCGATCGCCAGGTTTGATTGCGGGAAGGAAATCCCCTCCCACTTCCCTGCTGGGCAAGTCGATTAATTTGCTCCTAACCCACACCAGCTGGTCATTAGGGAAACTATATCTGCTTCTTTTACAAACAAAATGCATTCGCTTCAAGATTCGAAATTCCTTTCCCAACGGCTGGAACTCCTGTGCGCCTGGCAAAGGGCTTTATTATTTGGGGGCTGGGGGCAGGAGCGGCCATGGGGAGCTCTCAGGAGCAGACCTGGGCCCATGGGCCAGTTTCTAGGGAGAGAGAAAGTTCTGTCTGGTCTGGAGCTCAGAGCCTTGGTCCAGAGAGACCTTTTGGATGGAAGACAAAGTAGGTTGGTCCCGTAGAATGTTTCTCACCCGCAGCCGCAGACTTGCATCGGGGCACATGGCTATGGTTATTGCCCCGTGAGCACACATTTTTATTTAGGTCCCATGCTGCCCACAAAGCACAGTTCTTACTTTCTACTCTCTCCAGGCCAATATTGCTAGGATGGCGTCTTTACTTCTTGTGTCCTGGACAGAGGACCAGCCAGGGAGTTTGGAAACCTGGGCTCTATTCATCGCTGGTATTAGCCATCAGGGTGACCCCGGGCAACCTGTTCTATCCATCCAGGCCTCAGTGTCCTCATCTATAAATTGGGGTCCCTGCCCTTCTGATGCAATCGTCTCTGTTTTTAAGAGTCTGAGTGGGTGGAAAAAAACCATTCATTTCATTCCTCTTTTCCTTAAATTGACAGCTTTCCTCCATGAAAAGAATGTCAGTGGCTTCCTGTCTGTCAAAGACATAATGAGTTCTGTTTTACAAGAACTCAGCCATGGACAAAACAAAGGGGACTGGGGCCCACGGGAAGGGCTACCAGAAATCTTGCTGAAAGTTCTTCCCAGACTTTAAAGAAGACATTTACGAGGCAAAGTCTTCATTTCTCAAGATATTGGCCGCCCAGTTAACTCCTGAATTGCTGGGTAGCTCATAAAAAGGTTGGGAGTTAAGAAGACAGTGTGAGATGGGTCTCTGCAAAGGTTGAACTTGGCCCTCTGCATCTTTCTTAAACCCTTCCCATCTGCCAAATAGCTGCTTTCTAAATCCACTATTTCCTGCAGAATGGAACCTCTAAAAGAGGAGGCATTTGAGTCTTTCACATTTAAGCCCTGACTTATCTTTCTGCTATCACTGGTCACTGTCACACTCTTATCCTCCTGTTCTAAGGCGCTTGAAACCACGGTCAGCCCTCGTCCTTTTGCTCCTGCTGTTCTACCTCGGGCTGCTAGAATTTGACTCACTCTCCGTGGCCCCGTCCAAACAGCTCCCGCTTGGTGAAGGGGCCACTAGCCAGGTCTGTCTTCTGTGCCCCCGTAGGCTCCAGTGTGGCTGTCATCACCCTGCTTTATAAGTGACCATGTGTCTGATCCCCTCATTAGATAGAGGATGAACTCCTGGGCTCAAGGACCTCAAGTGTTCCCTGAAGCCTGGCGCCCAGTGTAGGGGGTGATTGGCACAGGATTGTTGAGTTGAAATGGGCGGTCGGGTGCTCCAGTCCTCCAATCAACCATACCCCCCCAAATCTGCCTCCCTTCCAGAGCCCAGACCCTAAACTTAAAAGGAAATTTGTGCTTTGCTCATTTGGAGCAAGATGCCCTAGAGTCCCATTTCTGGGGGTGGATTTCTGGGCTCTCCCTTCACATGTGGGCTGAGATGTAATGACGGAAACAGCAGAAGAGAATATTTGAAATCTGAACTGGCCCAGGCTCATCAGAGGAGCCCAAGACTCCTGATCTAACACAGACTAAGTTAGCGTGGAGGACGGGAGGAGAGTTAGTAGGAGTGCAGACCCCAGGTGAGTCTGAAAATACTCCACTGTTCAATGGAGCACTTTCGAAAATATTGCACATGCAATGAGTACTTACAGAATATCTGTTTTCCACGAAATCTGCAAAACAAAGGATACCATGGCAGTGAGCAGTGCACAAACACAGTTTGGCTTCCCCACCAACATCCTGGGGGCTGGGGCAGGTTGAGGAAAGAGGGACAGGGCAGAGGCAGGAGGAGACACCAAGACCACAGGTACTTGGTGCTCAAGTTTACGGCCCCTTTGCCACAGACAGCTTCGCTGGGACCCTCTAGCTCTCCATGACAGGCGTATCCTGGCACCTCATTTGACATTTTAAACAGTTTTTTAAAAAATCTGTAGCACAAATTTCCTTTATTTTTTTTAAGAAAAATATAAACTATGGGAAGGGGAAATTAACAGATAAAAAATTATCTTTTGTGCCACTCTCCAAACCCTGTTGATGCTTTTTTTCCCAGTCCTTTTCTACTGTGAATATCCTTTTTGGGGGGATGAAGGAACAGTTATATAGTATATGACATAAATCCTATCTTTTTCACACACCATAACTTTATAAACATTTTCTGGTAACTTCTTAAACATAATTGTTAAAGTAGCTGCATAATAAATTGTTAAATGAACGTGAAACTGTTTACTTCACCAGTTCCTTACTTTAAAAATCCAGGTTCTTTCCAAGTTTTTGCTGTTTTAAATAACACCACCAGTGTTCTCTCTGGGAATAAAGCCATTCCCATCTTTTGTACTATTTTGTCTGCCCTTTCCCAGGCGCAAGATCACAAAGCAGGAGGTACAAGCATTGCCAACACTCTTGGCACATGTGGCCAAACCGTCTGCAGGGCAGAGCCACCAGCCCCTTTCCTCTTCCCCTCGGGGCCTCATTTCAGCTGTCGGGGAGCCCACACCACTCGCTGTGTCTGGCCAGCCCTGCCAGGCTACTATGATGCAGATGGCCCTTGTTAAATGTCAGGAAGAGGACAGTGAGGATGAGAAAAGCCAATGAGGGCTGGGTGCAGTGGCTCACGCCTGTAATCCTGGTACTCAAGGCAGAAGGATTGCTTGAGTTCAGGAGTTTGAGACTAGCCTCAGCAAGAGGGAGACTCTTTAGCAGAGGGACCCGTCTCTGCTAAAAATAGAAAGAAATTAGCTTGACAACTAAAATAGAAAAAATTAGCCGGGCATAGTGGTGTATGCCTGTAGTCCCAGCTACTCGGGAGGCTAAGGCAGGAAGATCCCTTGAGCCCAAGAATTTGAGGTTGCTGTGAGCTAGGACGATGCCACTGCACTCTAGCCTGGGCAACAAAGTGAGACTCTGTCTCAAAAAAAAAAAAAAAAAAGGGAGAGAGAGAGAAAAGCCAATGAGACTAGGAAGCTCTGTGTTGAGGGTAAGTGGTCCCTGCCTGCACTCGTTGGAGTTGGTTTTCACTGCAAGAGGCAAGAGAGGGGTATGTCTCCCCCCACCACTAGCAGAGATTCTGAATGGTCAGTGGCCCACACATTGGGGCAGATCCCCCAGACAGCCCTCTGTGGACACAGACTTGAAGACCCACGGGGCCCTCACTGATGCCTGGGGAAGGGCCCACGAGGAGGCATGAGTATGAGGCTGGTTGCTCTTCTGGAAGGTGGTAGAAGTAAGGGTGGAAGGCCATGACCTCTCCCTAAGTCCTCAGTCTCACTCATGCCAAGGGGCCTCGGTTTACACCCAGCCCCAAGCTCAAACCCAGTCTCTCCTGGACCCTGGGCAGGCTCAGGGCCCATAGGTCATAGCTGGGAGTCACAACCCTTCTGCTTCTCAAATTTAAAAATATCCTGTTTCCATAAATCCACCTCCTCTAACACCCTGTCTTATCACCACTCCATTGTGCGTCCCCTCTAGAGGGAATGGGGCCAGGAGTTCCTAAGGGGCCCCTCTTCTGTCCTGGCGGGGCCAGAGGCAGGCGTCACGGCCAAATGATGAATCAGCCCGACGGAGAAGTCAAGCCATTGTGTCAACTTCCACACATTGAGCGAGGCCGTGGGCAGCACCCCCACCAAGTCTGACCTGGGAGGACCCACAGGACCCCATGCTTCCTGTACCCCCATAGTCCCAATGGCTCTGGAACCAGACCAGCCGGGAAAGAGCCTCAAGTCTATGTTTCCCCGAGCAGAACATGCGGACAGTACTGATGGGACACCAGTCTGTGCGTGCTGTAGTTGTTTTTGGTAGTAGAGCGACCACTACAAAAGCAGAGTTTGGGGGCGGGGGTGTCATCCACTTTTTCATGGAGTACTTTTTACCATCTCGCATGCTGAAGCAGGAAATGCCACCCTGGGGGCAGGGCCGGTGTGCGCAGGCCTGGCTGGCTCTGTGCCTCGCAGGATGGGTGGGGACTGACCCTCAAGGGCTCCTCTCTTCCTCCCAGAGGGGACTGGGCATAGAGACCTTGTCTTCGGGTTCTTTCTCGATGACCCCTTCCTGTCACTACTGGCTACTCTCATTATACCGGGCGGCAGGGATGCCGTGGGGACCAGCGACTTCTGCCTCCTTTAACCACTTCGGTACCAGTATCGCCTATAGCCGACAGCCACAGATGAACGTGCACCGCGACTTTAGCCGATAGCCATGATATGACTTTTCTAATTTTTCATTTATCAAAATAAAATTGTGAACATTTAAAAATAACGTAATGTTCAAGCAGAACCTTGGAGGTAAAAAAAAAAAATAAAAAAATAACGTAATGAGAACATATATGTAGATGTTACCTATTCTGATTTACATGACAAGTAAAGCTGCCTGTAAAGTCAAACAAGCTTTCAGTGCTTTAAAGCTTTCCTCATCACACAAGAGCAAAACGGATGTGTTGTCCATGCACAGCACAGACTGTCGTGCGGACTGCGAGTGCCGGCTGTGGGCAAGGTGTCGCGGCCGGTGTGCGCCGTACCGAAGTGGCTAAGAAGCACCCTGGCAGTGTGACTCGCAGGCAGAGGGACAGCAGGAGGTGGCTGCCGAGTAAGCAGGTACTCAGATGGGGAGGTGGCCGGTTTGCCTCAACAGAGCAAGACTCAGCGTCTCTTCCAGGGCCAGTCATCAGGTGCCCTGGGTCACCTCCCAAGGCGGGCACCGGGCAAGCAAGAGCTGGCCTCGGAGGGGAAACCAGCTGCCCTGCTGGAGGAGTCACAGGAGGTGAATTCCTCCAAGCGGGATTTCTCAGCGTTGGCGCTAGTGACATTTCGGGCTGGGTGACATTTCGTGGTGGGGAAGGGGGCCGGTGTGTGCACGGTGGGGTGCTTAGCAGCATCCTGGGTCCCCACACACTAGATGCAGTAGTGTCCCCTCCCCTCCCCGCCACCAAGTTATGACAACCAAAAATGTTGTACTTAATGCCCCTGAGCCCGACACTTAAAAGGGGTTAACAGGGTAAATTTTAGCTGATGTGTGTGTTACCCCAATTTTAAAAATAAAAATAAAATTTTAAAAAGTAAAAAAAAAATGTAGGAAAAGAAAAGTGTAGCGTGGAATTCGACTGTGTGACTCCAGGGAGCAGGAAGTCGACGCAGAGACCGAGACACACGGGATTCCTGCCAGGGCCGAGTCCGCCCTCTCATGGGGGGAGACAGGCAACTGGAGGGGCCTTTATGACACAACAGTTAAAAAATAGGAGAAAAAATGCTGAGTTTAGAGCCTAAAGCCAGGACAGCAAAAACGAGGCGCCTCCCCAGGCCCTGCCTCCTCGCCAGCCCCCAGCACTTTCTCCAGGGCCCCTGGGCTGCTCCTTGGAAACAGGCTGCCTCGCGCCCTTTCTCTTATCTAGGGGAGCGGTTTTCCTCTGCATCACTCAGGGAGGGGAAAGGGGGGTTTAGGAGCCAGAACTACGCCCTGTGAGCCATTTCCCAAAATAGCTGGCCCAGGCGTGCTGCGGTGGGAGATGTCAGGGAACAGGAGCAGGAGAGGTTTGCCAAGACCCCGCTCTGCGCCAGCCGGCTCTCCCATCTGTCCCCAGACACACCCCCTGCCAGGCCCGTTATTTTCCTGGGGGTCACCCCCTGGCCCCCACACAAGCGCAGCGTTTCTGGGTTTTCCCTCCCTGGCCAGCCCTGAGTGATCCCTTCAGGATTTCTAGGGGGACAGGAACAACCCTTCCCCTTCCCCTTCCCCTTCCAACAAGCAGCAGAAGCTTAGCACGGCACAATCAGAAGGGAACTCAGAGCATCTAGACCAGGTGTCCTCAAACCACATCCCATGGGCCACATGCGGTCCGCCTAGCACATTTATCTGGCCCTCCGGGTGTTTTTGCCTTGGCTGCCTGTCCTGCTTAGCAGCCAACTTGTCCCGGGCGCGCAGTGCGCACTCTCCAGCGGTCTGAGGGACAGTGAACTGGCCCCCTGTTTAAAAAGTTTGAGGACCCCTGATCTAGAGTGTGGTTCTCAAAGTGTGGTCCCCAGGCCAACAGCAACGACAGCATGTGGGAACTTGTTAGGAATGCAAATTCTCAGCCCCACTTCAGACCTGCTGAATCAGAAAATCAGAAATTTGGAGGAATGAGGTGGTGTCAAATAGTCTGGTTTTTGTTTTTTGGGTTTTTTTTTTTTTTCCCCAGAGACAGGGTCTCACTCTATCACCCAGGCTGGAGTGCAATGGCATGATCAGAGCTCATGGCAACCTCCTGGGCTCAAGTGATCCTCCAGTCTCAACCGCCTGAGTAGCTGGGACTACAGGTGTGTGCCATCACCCATGGACCCATGGCTCATTTTTTAATTTTTTGTAGAGGTGCAGTCTCACTATGCTGTCCAGGCTGGCCTCAAACTCCTGGCCTCAAGTGATCCTCCTGCCTCGGCCTCCCAAAGTGCTGGGACTACAGACATGAGCCACCGTGTCTGGCCACGATCTGTGTTTTAACAAACCCTGGGGACCACTGACCTACAGTCTGGCCCATCCCCCTCATTTCACAGAAGAAGGTGACTGAAGCCTGGAGACTTTCCATAACTTGCCCAGGGTCATCCAGACCACCCAGAACGTTAATCTTAATTTCTAAAGTAGAGAGTTGGACTCTACAAGCATGCATGTGATAACATGGAAACCAAACCAAGAAAGATGGGAAATAGAGAAGAACACAGTCAATTGGTTTAGTGACAGAGAGGAAACCGGCAGGTTTAAGAAAGAGCACTGCTCTGTTGGTCCGAGTGCAGTGGTGTTTACAACTAACTGATCACAACCAGTTAACAGATTCCTTTGTTCCTTCTCCACTCCCACTGTTCCACTTGACCAGCCTTTAAAAATTTTTAATAATAAAAAAAAAAGTAAGCACTGCTCTGCCTCCGGGGTCCCTGGGCTCCAACCCTGCTCTGCACTGGCCGTGGGACAAGGACAAGTTCCTTACCCTCTGGGCCCACTCCCCCATCTGCAGGGCAGGAATAAGAACAGAGCTTCTGTGTACCCTATGAGGATCTTGAGCATTAAACGAGGACTCTGAGGGCCTCAGACACAGGGAGTGCTCAATATATGTTAGCTTTAACCATGACAGAGGAGGAAGGTACTCTCCCAACCTAGAGAGAATTAGAGTGTAAGGAGAAAAAAAAAATCAACACAGAACAAAAGGAATTTGCAGTTTATAGAGGTGGAATAGTACTCAAAGAGTTGCTGGGGAACTTGGCCATGCTGAAGACTTTGGGGTCGGTGTGAGGATGTGTAAGCAATGATGGCCGTTAGCAACTCCAGGGGAGTCTTCCCAAAGGGAGGGCAGGGGTGAGTGTGGCAGAAGACTGAGAGGTGGGTCACCAGGGGCCGAAGGATCTGGCTCCTTGGAGAATCACCTGGCTTCCCCCAGGAGGAGAGGGGGAACCATGCTTTCTGATTTTTTGTGAGGAGTGGAGAAAAAGGGATTACTTAGAAGACGGTTTCTGTTAAGGAAGTCCCAGAGAATTAAGGAGAGAAATCCTCAAATGGATGCCTGCTCTTTGGCAAATCAGTAAGAGGGGAAAAAAAAAAAAAAAAGAAACAACCCCCGCCCGGGGGCCCCCGGCCCCGAACAACAAGCTGAGGGGAAATACTCAGAAACAGGAAACTCCTGGGCTTCCGGGATGGGAGCCTTCTAGGCGAGGTGAGGTCACTCCATTCGGGCAGCTGCAGGCCCCAAGGCTCTCGCTCTGCCCTCAGCACCTGGGCAGGGTAGAGACCTGCCAGGTTCGGTAACCGGTTAGATTGCAGAGGGACTGCAGCCCTGACCTCAGCAGCCCAGCCCGGGACTGGACACCGCTCCAATCTCCACCTGGGCCAGACACTACCCTCTCCAGGGCTCAAGTTCCTCTGTGTTTTTAAACCAATAGTGATCAAGTGCTCACTGTATGGTGGGGCTAACACACTGACTACTTGGGGTAATCAGCACCATCTCACACGGTCCGACCTCATCCCCTTTCCCATTTCATCCCATTCCCATGTAACAGCTGAAGCTACTGAGTCCCAGGGGGTAAGACATCTTGGTCAAAGTCACACAGCCTGCGAGCAGCAGCCCCAGGACAGGGGCAGGATGTCTCCTAGCAAAGACGGGCTCCTGGCTGCCATGAATCCCTGCAAGAGCAGGTTCCCCAAAGCCTGTGGTTTCAGCCTGAGGGAGCTCTCACGTTCCAACCACCCAGGGCAGCTGCAGGCCCCAGGGCTGAGTAATCTAGAACCAGCCTGCGGACCCTGAGAGCACCCACCTGGACAGCTCACACGCAGCCATAGAAAACCAGAATGCGCCACCCCAAAACACACCACTTGGGCGTAAGGATCATTTTGAGCTGGAGGCAAACGCCAATCCACACACACAGAAAGAAGCCTTCCCAGAGCTTAGTTATCTGACTAAAAGCAGAAACTGCAGAGAAACAAGAGCTACTATAAATCCTCCCTTCCCAGGGAAGTTTTATGGCCAACAAAGACAGAAAGTCGGCAGGCAGCAAGATGGGCCTGCACAAACAAACCTCACTTGATTAGTTTTCCCACGGTTTGCCACCCTTGCAAGCCTAAAACCACTTTTCCTGTGTCTTGTCACTTCTCTACAAATTTATTTTTCTTTGTTAAGGTGCCATATGTTACTATTGATAGATCCTAAGTTCTAACCACCCCTTTGAGTTACTCATCGCTGGCATTTCTCCTGCATGGTGTGTACTGCATGTGTTAATAAACTCTTTTGTTTTTCTCTTGTCGATCTGTCTTGTCTAACATGCAGCAGAGACACTAGAAAAGGAGAGGAAAAAGTTGCTTTTCTCCCCCTGCACAGACTCTTTGGAATCTGCACTGGGGTGGCCTTCGCCAGCTGTCAAAGGGCCTCCACTGGTAGCGTCAGGTGACCGCAGACCCCCAGGCCTCAAGGCAGAGGTGGTGAGGAGCCGGCCTCCTGCAGCGGGGACCCCTGCAGCCTCCACATCCCACCAGCTCCCCTTCCCAAACCTCAGGCAGTGTGGCCCGGTGATTGCAGCGTGGAGTCTGCTCCAGGATGGCCAGTCCTCAGGGGCCTGCTTGCCGTGTGTGATCTTGGGCAAGAGTCTTAACCTGTCTACACCTCAGTATCCTCATCTGTAAACTGGGATTTGCCATGGCCAGGCGAGGTGGCTCGATGCCTATAATCCTAAGCAAGAAGATCGCTTGAGGCCAGGCGTGGTGGCTCACACCTGTAATCCTAGCTCTCTGGGAGGCCGAGGCGGGCAGATTGCTGAGGTCAGGAGTTCGAAACCAGCCTGAGCAAGAGCGAGACCCCGTCTCTACTATAAATAGAGAATAATTGGACCAACTAATATAATATTATATATGTTTAAAAACAAGCGGGCATGGTGGCGCATGCTGTAGTCCCAGCTACTTGGGAGGCTGAGGCAGAAGGATTGCTTGAGCCCAGGAGTTTGAGTTGCTGTGAGCAGGCTGACACCACAGCACTCACTCTAGCCTACGGCGCACAAGGGAGACTCTGTCTCAAAAAAAAAAAAAAAAAAAAAGAATCGCTTGAGCTCAGGAGTTCTGCAGTCCCAGCTACTCAGGAGGCTGAAGCAAGAGAATCACTTGAGCTCAGGAGTTTGAGGTTGCTGTGAGCTAAGAGGATGCCACTGCATTCTGGCTGCGGCAACAGAGCAAAACTCCTTCTCAAAAAAAGGGGGGGGGGTTTGTTGTGAAGGTTGAAAGAGATGACGTGCCTACACCGCTTTAGCACATACGGTACGCGCTCAAATATGAGCATAACCAAAGCACTTGAACGTAAACTGTCCGGCGCTGACCTGAGGATGTGAACAATCTCAGGGAGGATCACAAAAGACGAAAGGGCATTTTTGCATAATTGCATAATGGGGCCAATCTTGAACCCCACACTTCACTTTTAACTTTCAACTAAGCCAGACGAATAGAGAAAGCCTATTTATTTCCGAATTTGCGTTTTGCTGACTCTGAATATATTGAGATTACAAAATGAGGCCCTTGAGCCAAAGATTCCCCAGGAAATGGCTTATAAAAATCATTCAATCAGTGTCAAGTTCTACAAGAGGCTGAGTTTCTGCTCTACCCATGACTGTACCAATTTTTTGGAAAAAATATAAATTGAGGAATGATTACTATTTCAGACAAAACATAGGCTCTTGAGAGCACTGAACAGTTCCTTTAAAACAGTACTTCCCAGGCTGGGCATGGTGGCTCACACCTGTAATCATAGCACCCTGGGAGACTGAGGCAGGAGGATCACTTGAGGTCAGAAGTTCAAGACCAATCTGAGCAAGTGCAAGATCCTGTCTCTACTAAAAATAGAAAAAATAGCCAGGTGTGGTGGAGCACACCTGTAGTCCCAGCTACTTGGGAGGCTCAGATAGGAGGGTTGCTTGAGCCCAGGAGTTTGAGGTTGCTGTGAGCTAGGCTGACGCCACAACACTCTAGCCTGGGTGACAGAGTGAGACTTTGTCTCAAAAAGCAAACAAATAAAAAAACCCAGCGCTTCTCAAATATTGGCAGCACTAAAAACATTGGTGAAGCCATATATAGCAGAGAGGAAATACAAATAAATTTGTGGGCTCTGAAACAAAAGACAACAGAGCTAAGCTGCTAGGCAGTCTCGGGCTGCACTCAGAGTAGCTGTCTCCTTGGCAGAAGATTCCCGGCCCATTTTAATGGTTCCATTTCAGAGAATCCATATACATAGAGGTCCATAACAAAGAGGAAGCAAGACGAAGGAGAATCTTTGCACAGCTACTCTGCCCCCCGCAATGTCATGCCTTTCGGGTTACTGGCCGACTTTGAGAGTTCAAATGTATAAAATTAGATGAGAGAAAATAAAATATCATACCAGAAATAAAGAACCATCATTAGACAAAAAATGAAGCTGTTGGGTGCTTCCAGTCCGTGCTGCCTGGGATAGAGAAGGAGAAGAAGACTCAGCTTTATTGAAGACAACACAGAGAGAGAGAAACGAAGAGAGAAAACTGATGTGGGCTGCAATTCTAAACCCACCCAAGAACCCAGAGATCAGATAGCATTAACACAGAAGGCTGAGCCACTGAGTGTATTCAGAGCAAAGTACTTGACTTCGATACATAAGACCTGGGAGGCCAGTCACCAGGGGGGGCCAACATGTGGGAGCAGTGAGGCTCAGTGAGCACTGGGGTCAAGGGGCAATTCATTAGCAGACAGAAATGAAACAAGATAAACAAAGGGGCAGTGGCGGATTGCTCGGAAAGAGTTCGAAACCACCGAAGCAAGAGCGAGACCCGTCTCTACTATAAATAGAAAGAATAATTGTGCAACTAATATATATAACAAAATTAGCCGGGCAGGTGGGCATGCTGTAGTCCAGCTACTCCGGAGGCTGAGGCAGAAGGATGCTTGAGCCCAGGAGTTTGAGGTTGCTGTGAGCTAGGCTGATGCCAGCACTCACTCTAGCCTGGGTAACAAAGCGAGACTCTGTCTCAAAAAAAAAAAAAAAGGAGCATTCTTTGCCTAAATGGACAGTCCACGTAACCTGTGGGCTACTTTTTAAGGGGGGTGGGAGGGAGAGAGCCAACACTGTGCTGTGAAAGGCTATTGTTTTGGCCATCTTTGCTTCCTCTTTTCTCTGTCCACCCTCCAGGCTGGGGAATCGGGGGACCCTCACTCACCAGGGTCGGCTTTCCGGATTTCACTGTACACCGTCTCAATGCCCTTCGTTCCCAGAGCTAGAAAAGGGACCAGGCACAGGTCAGTAGCTGACCCTGGGCACCAGGCCAGCCTCTGCTGAAGCAGGGAAGGGTCTGAGGCTCCGCAGGCAAGGCCGCCCCCGCCCCACCACTGCCTGTGGCCAGAAGCACCTGGAGACCTTGTCGTCTCCTGACTTTAGAAGTCTCTGGCCTAACCAGTGTCACTCTCAGTCTGGAAATAGGAGGTCAGCAGGTCATCGTGGCCAGGGCCACCTGCCCCAGAGTAACCCTGGACCTGAGGGACCACAGGTAGGGGGTGCCCAGCATAAACCTGCAGCCTCCAGCTCCAGCCCCATCCCTCTTTCCCTGCCACGGTGACCCGTGTCCAGCAGCTCTGCTAGGCCCCTCCCAGCAGGGCTGGGCAATGGCCTCCCGATCACCAGAGAGCCTGGCCCCTGGGATCCAGAACCGGATCCAAGGTGAGAGCCTGGACATCATCAGGGACCCTAAGGATCAGCTGGGACCGGGAAGCGCGTGCGGAGCTGGACGGCCGCACCTGCGGGTTTCCCGCCAGCACCTGGGCCTCACTGCGAACTCTGACCTGATCAGTCTGGGCTGGACCCTGGCTTCGGATTTTTTAAGAGCTCCCTGAGGACCCAATATGCAGATAGGGCTGAGATCCCGTGGGTCAGACTCTTTCAGAACTGCAGACAAGATGACTGACCCAGGGTGTGGATCACACCCCGAGGAGACTCAGGGGCTTGGGAGACAAAGTGTGCCCTGCCGCCATCTGTTTATCTGACACTGAGGTACATGCACAGATATGTATACACAAACACGTGCATACACAGTGTACGCACTTGTACACACATACACACGGTGTGTACATCCTCATACCATGTATACATGCCCACAGCATGTCTACACACATTGTACACAGTATGTACATACTCTGTACATACAGACATGCATGCCGTGTTTGCACACGCTTGTACACAATGTCCACACTCATGCACACAGGGTGTGCGCGCACGCACGCACGCACGCGCACACACACACACACCCTGAGGAAACAGGTGGAACCTGGCCATTTCCCCAGCTCCTGCCGCCTGCACAGAGGACAAGGATTTCGCACTGTGAAAAGGTGCCCGATGCAGTCTGGGCTGACATTCTGCTTTTATAGGTGGGGAAAGGGAGCCTCAGACAGGCTAAGGCTCTCCTTGTGGCCATGGTCAGGGCCAGGTGGGCATTGTTCTCTTAGGGGCAGATGGCCTGGCCAGACTATGGACTCTAATTGCGCTGAGATGCTCCACTCTCACCTACTGACCCTGCACACACTCCTCTGCTGCTGGCACTGCCCTTTATCTTTGCCCCAGTCCTCCAAGACCCCAGACAAGCCTCGCCCCTGTGTGCACCCCGAGCTCTCACCCCTGTCTGTGCCCTGGGCAGGGACGTGTGCCCCTGTGCTCCTGCAGCACTCTGCCTGTGACACACTCATTTTGTCCCTGTGAATTCTCCCCTGGCAGCTCCTGAGCTCCCCCAGGGCAGCAGATGAGGTCTCTGGCATGGGCATGACCGCTTCCCAGGCTTGCACGGCTACCTGAGGACACCTGTCAAGGTTTGAAGTGGCAGTGAATGGTGGCGGTTTCTGTGTCAGAACCCACATGCCAGGAGAGAGGCTGGGGGTGGTTCGGATCCTCACCACTGAACCTGGGGCATCTGTGGTGACCGGGGCCTTGCAGAAGGCATCATAGTGACTCCCCAGGCTGCCAAACAGGAGTTGGGACTCAGTAGAGTGGCTGAGATACCCGGGGACCCCACAGCTGGGACAGCAGAGATCCACACAACCCTCCACTGTCTCTCTGTGGCGCCAGATTGGGGGGCATAGAGGGAAGCTCTAGGGAGCTCCATGCCTGCTGGGCGTAGGTCCCTCAAGTTCCCAAGGCATCCTCTGCTCAACAACAGGCCTGGGTGACTCATTCGTCCAGCATAATAAACTAGACACCTCCTGTGTGCCCTGCACCACGCAAGAGGAGGTGACCGGCCCCGGTTCCAGCTTTCGAGAGCTCTAGGCCGTGAGGCAGACAGGTGCATGGGGTGGGGGTGGGGGATGGGGGGTGGGGGTGAGGGGGTACTACCAGCCCCACAGTGGGAACTGGGGAAGGGGGGACTAAGTGGGAAGTGAGAGCTCAGTGGCCAAGCCTGAGGGCCTGGACACCGCGAGAGCCCCACCGTCCCCCACACATGAGGGCCGGCTGGGAGACCTCTCTGGTCACCTTGGGGACGCCCTAACCCCTCTGGACATGCGTAGCTCCGCTCGACCCCCTTTCTCCTTGTAACTCTTATCAACCCAGACAGCAGGGGTGGCTTCCACTTCTTGCTGGAGCTGCTGCTGCCCCGGGTCTGGCCTGCCCTGCGACAGGGGTCAGCGCATCACTACTTCCCACTTCTGTGCCCGGTGGTGGCAGCTGCCGGCTAATGACTAATCCAGGCCAGCGAGCTGTTTGTCTCTGCTGTCGGGATGTTTCCGGATGGGGCTTTATTTTGGCTTCTGTTTTTCCGTGTTAACAGAGGAAGAGATGGCTTCGACGTCATGGGGTTTTCCCAGCAATTAGCCTCGGAGCAAACACGCAGCAGACCAGGATTTAACGAGTTCCTTCCCACCCCTCCTCCACCCCAGTGACCACTTGGGCGGCTGCCAGCCAGGGTTAGAGCTAGACGTGGCCCCCGTCCTCCCCTCCACAGGAGGAAGAGGAGAGGCCTTGAGAACAAGACCAGGCCAAGTTGATCGCCACTGGCGTGGAACCCACAAAGCCCTTTCCTCACCTAATGACACCCCCTCCCCACTCATGGGAAGGTGAGGCTGAGGCCTGACCCTCCCCCAGCTGCCCCTTAGCTGCCAAGGAAGAAGCTTCCTCCAGAAGCTCTCCATTGCCACGGAAAGGACCTCATTCCAGGTCTACCCGGGACCCCCTGCAGCCCACACAGCTTTTGGGTAAGTCAGGAAAAGGTGACCAGCGAGGTTGGTGCACCCTGCCCCTGCACAGCTTGGCAAGGAGAGGGCAGGCCCCTCGCCCCTGCCTCACTCACCCTGTCCTAGGGGACTCTGTACCTCCCTCTTCCCCTACATTCAATCCCTCCCAACCTTCAACCAAGAAAAAGAAAGTCACATGTTACTTCCAGGGACACATTCCCAAAGAAATGGAAAATGGACACTTTTCTAAGAACAAAACCCTGCTTCTTCCTTCCCCTTCTAGCTTCTCTCAACCCAAAGCCATCCAGGTATCCTGCACAGCCCTCAGAGCTCTGCCCCACTCCGGCCCAGCAGCTGAGCAAAGCCAGGGCCTGGCCCTCTGTGGGGAGTGGCACCGGACGCCCTATGCCAGGGCCCGGTCCACCGAGTGCTCAGTGGAGCGTGGAGGGTTAAAAATGGAGAAGACAGTGGGTTTTTCCACTCACATTCAAAACTTTTGGGCATGGCTGGGCATGGTTGCTCATGCCTGTAATCATAGCACTCTGGGAGGCCGAAGCAGGAGGATTGCTTGAGGTCATGAGTTCGAGACCAGCCTGAGCAAGAGTTGAGACCCCCATCTCTACTAAAAATAGAAGAAATTAGCTGGGCATGGTGGTATGTGCCTGTAGTTCCAGCTACTCAGGAGGCTGAGGCAGAGGATCACCTGAGCCTAGGAGTCTGAGGCTGCAGTGAGCTATGATGATGGGGACTCTAGCTGGGCTGATAAAAACAAAACAAAAATCAAAACCTCTGGGCAGCCCTGCGTTCTTTCTCACTTTTCCCTCCAAACCTGATCTCCCTTCAAGGGGAAGTGAGCCGCTACTCAGGAGACCACACTCACGGTGCCTGGTGTCGGAGGGGTGCTATGTGCCAGGAAAGGCTGGCGGGGAGCCACCACAGTCCCCTCCAGACTCACTTCTGAGCACTGCTGGGTGTCGCAGCAATCCTCCTGCCTCAGCCTCCCCAGTAGCTGGGACTACAGGCATGCGCCACCATGCCCGGCTAATATTTTCTATATACATTAGTTGGCCAATTAATTTCTTTCTATTTATAGTAGAGATGGGGTCTCGCTATTGCTCAGGCTGGTTTCAAACTCCTGACCACAAGCAATCCGCCCGCCTCAGCCTCCCAGAGTGCTAGGATTACAGGCATGAGCCACAGTCCCTGGCCTAGGGTCTTTTTAAAAGATAGGAGTAGGAAGCTGTCACTTCCCTGTCTAAAGCCTTCCAAAGGAGGAATGGAATGCAAAAAGAATGTTAAAGGCCCTGCATCAGCCCCAGCGCTAGCTGAGTGCTTCCCTCTGCCTCACTCACCCTGCAGACACAAGGGCCGCCTTCCAGATCTTAACTGCGCCAAGCCCTGAGCCGCCTCACTCTGCCCTTCCTGTTTCCTAGAGCTGCCTACCCCTCCCTCCTGGTGGGGCTGCCTTCTCTGCACCCTTCAGGCCCTGTTTAAATGCCACCCCTCCAAGAGGCCTCCTGAAAAGACATCACCTTTTATGCCTTCTCATTGCACCCTGTTCTTCTCCTTCTAGGCACTTACTATAGCCTGATACTGTCGCTTCTGGGCTCAGCTCCCTTGCAGGCTGTCCCCCTACTAGGAAAAGATCGCATGTCCTTTGCTGCTTGCACAGTAGCTGTTCCATCCGTGGGCCTTAATCACTTGTTATCTAACAAGCGAATCACTTAGCAGTGATTAAAGAGGCAGAGGACTTCAGGCCTGCCATGTTTCCTGCCCGTCTCGGGTCCAGTCTAGACTTGGGCGTGGGGTGCCCAGGTGGCTGTGCAGACTGGCAGCACACAATCCCAGGCAGGCTGTGGGAGTGGTGCCCAGCGATGCAGCACACAGGCTAGGGGCTGTGCAGGACAGGCCTGTCAGGAAAGTTCTGTGCACACACCTGCTGACAAGACCGTGCTAATCAAGAAAGGAGGAAGTAATCCAACATTCCTCCCAGATCATGGAGCAAGAGGTGACTTCAGGATGCCATCGCCGTGTGGCTCTGGCTCACAATGGAGGGCTCAGCCTGCAAAACTGCCCCAGACCAGTCCTAAGGAGCATCCCAGCAGGGTAGGGAGGTTCTGAATGACTATTTCCTTTGAATGGGCAGGAGCCCTCCGGTGAGCTAAGGAGGAGGAGGGTCAGGATAGGCAATGTTTTTTTATGGTGCCAAAAGCAACTGAGATGGACATTTTGGAGTTTGCTGTGGCCCAGCCCACTCTGCATCTGTCTTCCCAGCACAGAGATAGGGACTCCCGGGCAGGCCTGCGCTGGAGAGAACCGTGCACACACGCACATGAAACCTGAGCTGTAAAACCAGTGCCACTGTTTACACTGACACGGATTTCCTGCTTTCAGAAAGCCTTTACCCAAGTGTCCTGCTAGGTAGCAAAGCCCTCGATACCTTGAAACATGCATTTGGTTTGCACAGATTCAGTCTGCACAAGCAACCTTAGGAACACATGGATTGGCCAAGGTGGTGGGTACCTCTGGAAGAAAGCCTAAACACTCAGGAGTAAGGCTGCCTTCAAAGTCTCTTGCACAGAAATGAATTGCTCAGCACTTACTAATTGCCTGGTACTTAGTAAGTGCTCAGTAAATGTTATCTATTATTAGTAGCATCATAACAAATAATTATTGAAATTTTACAGCTCAGAGCCTCGGCCAGGGCCTTTGCTTCTACCTTATGCAGGCCCAGTATTTGTGCTGTGACCACCTTGCTTGGAGCAACTGAGGGTGCCGGGCTCTTCTCACTGGGCACAGCACCCCCACCCCGGTGTCTCCACCCCAGCCAAGAGCAGCAAAGCATGGCGACTCACTCAAGGGAACACGGCATTTACCTCTGTGAGGCTCAGCTGAGGACACTTCTACTTCTGTGTACTCCACGTCCAAGTTCAGAGGCTCTGTTAAAAGGAACCACAGCATTCTGTGTTTAGGCAGAATCTTTTTTGGGGTCCTGAGACCACAGTAGAGATTTTCATTAATATTATTAAGGTATTCCATATTTCGATGGGGTGGTTAGACACAAGGGTAACTCCATTCCAGCTGGGCAAGGCAGTACAAGCCCTGCGCTGGTCTGCGAGGCAGAGACAGGACCTCGGGGCCAGGGGTCTAGTCCCTGACCCTCCCATTCCCCGGTCGTGGAGGGACCCTCCCGCATCGGTCCACGTTTCTACAGTGGGAGGACTTATAACAGGTTGGTAGAGACAGAAAACAGCCCAGTATTAGCCATGGCAGTTAACCCAGTTCATTCTCCCTCAAAATGCTGGCAGCCTTCAGCATGGCCCCAGGCCTACAGAGCTGTCTCCAAGATCAAAGGAATCTCAGGAAATGGGGACTAGGGGTCGCCAGCCTAAAAATGCTTTCAGAGCCTGAGGCAGGCAAGTTAATAAAGTTGCTCAGAGTTCAATGGTGAAAGCTAGGAAAGTTGTTTTCAACTCAAGATAAAGTTGTTTTGTTTTTAAAGCCCCAAAGACTCAGGGGTTCTCATCCGCTATTAAAATGATGATTCTGAAGTCAAGGATGCTTTTCAGAAAGAGCCTTTACAGAATCCTTTCACTTCTCTAGGAGTTAGCGTGTGAGCAGCTCAGAGTGGAAAGGAATTCTGAAAAAAATGATTTAGCCCAATCCCTCTGAGCTTTAGATGGAAGCAAGTGATGCATTGTTAATTGTCTGTTAAAATCTCCGCCTCTATACCCAAGAGAAAAGAGGTTCTGCTACCTTATTCAGCAGCCCGTACTGAGGCAGGAAGTTGCTTTTTAGGGATAACCCTGTTCTTCCCTACTTGGATTTAGGTTACTTTCCCATTAAGGACACTAGATAGCATCTTTGGAGAAAGCAAGTAGCCATCTCTGTGTACACAGCAGTTAGTCACAGGGTCATTAAGAGGGGTGGGGAATTATCCACGGGCCTGAAAGTTAGTTTTCTTTTCCTGTAGGTCCTTTTCTATGCAAAAGCATCTAATAAAAACACTTAATTAGGTAATTACCTTTATTATCATTTATTGGTTTCATTGCATGGTTTCCAACATCATCGTAACCTATTTGAAAAATAATTAGGATGAGTGACAATGGAAATTCTAGTTTTCTATAGCTTTTAAAATATTCAGTGCCACTAACAAAGGAAGCCAATCCTGATTTCTTCGGGGTAGGTGACAATCAGTCTCTGGGTTCTGGATCCCCCTCCTTGATCCCAGGTGGGCCCCATCTGACCTGCTATGTGGTCCTTTCCTAACACTCATAGGATGTCTACCATCCCATGGGAGGGGCACTTCTGTTTGTGAATTATTCAGAATTCAGAATTGTTCAAAGTGAGCAAGTTCATTGGAAATTGAACCTCTTTCTGGAAGAGACCAGCCAGTACTCACAGACATGAAGGACACTGGTTAACTAACCCTCTCCAGTTGGGAATTGGATTGATGAAAATATGGTTTATATGTCTCCTGAAAACATTCTAAAAATAAATAAATAAATAAATAAATAAGAAAATATGGTTTAAAGAAACTGCAGCATTGGTCAGACGGGGTGGCTCACACCTGTAATCCTAGCACTCTGGGAGGCCGAGGCAGGCAGATTGCTCGAGGTCAGGAGTTCAAAACCAGCCTGAGCAAGAGTGAGACCCCGTCTCTACTATAAATAGAAATAAATTAATTGGTCAACTAATGTATATAGAAAAAACGAGCCAGGCATGGTGGTGCATGCCTGTAGTCCCAGCTACTCGGGAGGCTGAGGCAGCAGGATTGCTTAGGCCTAGGAGTTTGAGGTTGCTGTGAACTAGGCTGATGCCACGGCATTCACTCTAGCCTGGGCAACAAAGCAAGACTCTGTCTCAAAAAAAAAAAGAAAAAAAAGAAAAAGAAACTGCAGTATTTTTAGGCTATCACTTCAGTGGGCACAGATAAACAAAAGTTTTTGTCTTTTTTATCAAATTGTTCTTTATTTAAAAAAATTCTCACAGGCCAGGCATGGTGATGCCTGTAATTCTAGCACTCTGGGAGGCCAAAGTGGGAAGATCACTTGAGCTGAGTTCGAGACTCTCACTCTTGCTCAGGCTGGTCCTGAACTGCTGAGATGAAGCAATCCTCCCATCTCAGCCCCCCAGAGTCCTGGGATTACAGGTGTGAGCCACCAAACCCAGCCTAAATGTAGTTTCTTAAATAATATATTTGCTCTTTCTATTGGCACATTACTTTTATTACTATAAATATTTTGTTTTCCTTTATTAAGGTTCATGATTCAGTAGTATAAGAATTTCTCAATTCTTAAAATATATTCCTCCAGTAAAATATTTCCTTATAAAAAGCATATCCTAACAATTTCTTAATTTGTGGGACACTTATAGAATTAGAAAAGAACATGAGCATTCTATTCTCAAACCTGCTGATAAAGAAAGAAAATTGCTCCAAATCCTTAAGGGACAGGACTTTTTCTGTGAAGTAATTACAGCCCCCCTGGGAAGGAAGTAGCATTTGGCATTCCAGCTAAAATGCTGGAGCAATTTTCTTGTAGACCTAATGAGATTTAAAGAACTCTGAGGACTGGCCACCCACCCTGAGCTGATCCTGGAGCTGCAATGAGCCCCCCAAACCAGGTATTCCTAATTGAAACACTTTTTAAAATGCTTCTTCTAATATCTAAATCTTTAAATTGGTTTCCCTTTGTGGTAAATTTGAAATAAAACTGTCTGGTGCTTGTAATAATATCCCCTGAGAAGATGTTTGACCAATGCTTTAATTTGGTATCTGGTCTCTGCCTTGCAAACAGAGAATTATTACACTGGAGCAATATTCAAAGTCTGTGCAGGTAACAAGGCATTGGGATTATTCTCCACCTTTCATTCTACAGGAAATTCAGAAGGTGGTGAAATTAGAATAAAATGTACCTTTCCTTTTAAGTTTTTGATTTACTAGCTCACCATCCAATGGCTGATTAGATGAAGCCTGGCTTTCCCTTTCGCCTCTAAGCCCACCACTCACAGATCCTGCCTCTGAGAGGGCTAGGAAGCGTGCGGCAACTTGGGAAAAATCAGCAATGGACAGAGATCATGACTTTACCATAATGACTGTTAGCCTCCACGTTGGGATCTGACACCTTCTCGTTGTTGGAGTTCAGAAGTGGTACTGCTGGCCTTAACATGAAATTTTAAAAGAAAATCTTTATATATACATATAAAAGAAAGAATTTTTTGGCTCTAATCCCAAAGCAACAAAACAACCAAGGGAACATCATGAGAAAACCAGGAAGACTTTTCCAAAGTGAGGAAAACTTTACTCTTTCTTTTGGCAAACTGATATCTTTTTCAACTCTAAGATTATTTAACAAAACTTTTTGCTGTTAAAATAGGTATCAGGCCAGGACCAAAGGAGTCCTTTACTAGGCCCCTCTCGATCCCCTGAATTCCCCACCCTGTGCCACTGTTTCTTTCTCTCCAGAACAGAGCAATGATTTCCATACTTTTGGATTTTTGATTTCAAAAACAGTAAAGATAGTAAAACCATTTTTTTAAAAGGCCAATTCTATTTTGCCAAGTAAGTAAATTTTAAAAATTTTATTAGAATTTCACGAGGAACGGGATTGCACAAGTAATAGTGTAGGAAGGATGTGATCTCAGAATAAAGACCATTCTTCCCACGAAAGGACAGTTGGCAACGGTCCACTGAGACACACACACACACACACACACACACACACACGAGGACAGTTCATATTTTTCTGAGCTTGCCAAGAACCACTAAAAACTTCCTAAGGCCTGGGGTCTTCCTCCAGACATGCCCACCCTGCCACAGAGCAGCCGCCCCTCACAGCTGCACCCACCTGGACATCTCCACTGGCATCTGCTTGGCTTTAAAAAAGAAAGAGGAAAACCCAAGTCAGTGTAAGGGACTGACGTCCGTACCCAATAGAAACACTCATTTCAACTACATTTGACTATTCTGATTGAATATCCATAAAAAGAGAGAAGAGAAAGCCAAATATACTCATCCTTTAAAAACAAAACAAAAACAAAAACAAAGAAAAGAGGTGTTTTCTTGGTCTTATACCAAGAGGTTTCACATCATTTCCCCAGATATATGACATCTTGAGTATTTCGGCAAGAATCGACTTTCGTTAGTGGAATGGGATGGAGAAGGAGACAACGACATAGGAACCGGATTAGCCAGATGAGCAGGCAGCTATCTCTTTGATTACAGATAATTCCAAGAAGTAAAGGCTAAGTCACTCCCTGTGCTTGTGCTTCTAACTCCAAGCTGTCCTGAGACCGATCCCAGGGTTTGTCCTGGAGCCTGTCTCCCCTGAGGGGTGGCAGCTTTCCTGCTTGAGGAAAATTCCAGGGCCCCTCCTCATCCCACCTGCCCCCTTCTGTCCAGAGCAGCAGCACCAAAGGCTCCAAAAGAACCCACAAAATTTTTTTGCAGAATTTCCTGGTGCTGTGCTGTTTTCCTTGAGTCTGGGAGAAATGACTCTGATTGACGAGTGTCAGCGGGTAGATAGATGGAAATCACGGCACAACTGGCAGGTTAATTAGGAAGCATTGGCCGGGTGCGGTGGCCCACGCCTGTAATCCTAGCACTCTGGGAGGCCAAGGCAGACGGATTGCTCGAGGTCAGGAGTTCAAAACCAGCCTGAGCAAGAGTGAGACACCATCTCTACTATAAATAGAAATAAATTAATTGACCAATTAATATATATAGAAAAAAACAAGCCGGGCATGGTGGCGCATGCCTGTAATCCCAGCTACCTGGGAGGCTGAGGCAGCAGGATTGCTTGAGCCCAGGAGTTTGAGGTTGCTGTGAGCTGGGCTGACGCCACGGCACTCACTCTAGCCTGAGCAACAAAGCAAGACTCTGTCTCAAAAAAAAAAAAAAAAATTAGGAAGCATTCAGTGTACGTGTACGCGTGTGCGTGTGCAGACATGTGCACGTGTGTCTCTGTGACACCCACACCCCACTCTACTCATTACAGGACCAGGTGCAGCTAAACCCACAGAAACAGCTTCTTCTGACCACACACAGATGCAGCTTCCTCCAGAATCTGTCTGATCTGGCTTGCCCAACTAGGAAAGTAATACTTTCGATTTTGCCTCACTGAATCCAGAGCCAACAAAAGCTCCAAGCCTACCAGAGCCAAAATCTTTGATTGCCAAGGTGGTGCCCCAAGAGGGAAAGTTGGTTACGTCTCTTCAGCTTCCCTTGCAGCTAACGTGCCACCCAGCCTGTCAGAACAGAAGGAAAGAACCATCCTCACCCTTGGCTTTCCTCAGAAAATAGCATTTGGCCCCAATGACCAAGGTGGCAATTATCACTCCGATGGCAATCGCTGCAATGAGTCCTTTCTTCCATGGGGAAAGAAAGACTAGAAATGAAAAAAAAAAAAATTTTTTTTCTTTTTTAATATATAGATTCTCTCTCTGCCAGCAAGAAATGATATCAGGTTTAAGCAACAAGTGAGACTGATTTCTCCAGTGCTTGTGTCTGCCGTCTTCCCCCTGAGGGATCCCCTTGTAGCTGGTACAGGAATGGTTGTTTCTGCTACAAGCAGCCGTCTGCTGTGGTTTTCAAGGAGGGAACAAAACAGCTCCACTAGAGGAGACTTTGGTGGGCGGGTTCAGCCCTCCTCCTTCTCTCAGAAACCCCTTCCACCCACACAGGTGGACTCCCCTCGCCACATCCTCTCTGCAGGACCCATGCCCTTGGCCACAGGTGACCCAGGGGTGGACGTTTGACCCAAGGTCAGTCAACTGGTGTCTCTCTGCCAAGAATTTGGAATCGAGACTGTGCGAAATGCTCTCAGTTCCTTATGATAATCCATTCCTCTTTTTCCTGAAGCTAATTTGAGTAAAACACTTCCACTTCCTTATAATAATTCTTCTTTTGTACTCAATTTGAGTGGGTTTCTGTCACTTGCGAGAGCCTGGAGGACATTGATGTCTTAATCCTCAGTCACAAGAGCTAAACTCCCCCCAGGCTCTCCACGAGGGGTGTAAGAGGCCCTTGGCCCGTGAAGCCCACACTACACCTCGGTGCTGAGACCTGACTCACCTCGGACTGGCAGTAGGTTGCTGTGAGGGGTGCTTCCGGCAACGGTGGCTCTGTTGAAGGCCGTGCAGTAATACTGTCCCTCCTGCTCCTTGCTAGCCTGCGGCTTGCTCCAAAATACCTGGGTGTCATTTGAGATCACCTGGTGGAAGAATTTGTTCTCCTTTTCTCTGTAAAACCTATAGGTGATGGGACCAGACCCTTCCTTCACGGAACAACGAAGCACGATTTCCTTCCCAGACTCCACCGCCTCGCTCAGCAGGATGGAAAGCTTGACCTCGCTCACGGGGGCTGGAAAGCAGGAAGAGGATTAGCATTGCTTTCCTTAATTGCAAAACAGCCGCTGCATAGGGGCCGGGCACCTCTCGGACTCTTGACTCGGACTGGGCCCCTCGTTCAAGTCACTCCTCTCATCCCACCTTCTTCTCAGTTCCTCCCTTGATTAGCCCAGAAGGGTGGCCAAGCCACAGACACCTCTTGTCCTCACTTGTTCGGTAAACACAAGACACCAGGGACACCTCCCTTCACTCAGCACCTCGGAGATTACTGGCCACTCAGCCTGACTATTCGATTAGCTTCAGCTGCGTGCTCTGTTGAGGTGTGTGTGTGTGTGTGTGTGTGTGTGTGTGTGCGTGCGCGTGCGTGCGTGTGATTGATTTCTCTCTCTGCTTAGAAAGACTCATGGTGCTTCCAGATCTTGCAAATAACCTCGACCCACTGCCTTCTCTGGCTATCATCCTGTTTTTCTCCTTTTTCCCTTAAGCTTTCACATCCTCATTTCCCACTTTCTTATCACCCCTGAAATCTGACTTCCATTCTCTGCTCTGACACTGCCCTCTTATCTCTGGTTTCGAAGAAACTCAAAAGGTTGCTTGATCCCTTGACCAATGTCCTTGAGTCCCCTGTGGATTAAATTAAATGGTGGATGTTCTTCCTCCAGGCTGCCAGCCTTGCCCCTGCTGTAGTTCCACTGTCCCCAGCCCTTCCTGTTGAACTCAGCCCTCTCTGGGCTTCTGTGCAGCCTCACAACCCCGATTCTCCTCCTTCCTCACCTGCCGCCCCTGCTTTTCACTATTCTTTCTCTTGTCCTAGAAATATGGACTTTCTGCAAAATTCAGTCCTCAGTTTTCCATCTCCTCTTTGGTGATTTCACCTAGATTCATAGCTTCTATTCCTGGGCATTTAACACCTAAACAGGTAGCTCTAGTCCAGGTTCCTTTCCTGAATTCCCAGTTTCCCTTTTCACCTGGGCATTTCCACCTGGAAGCCCAGCCAGCCTCACCCCCAGCAGGTGCAAGCAGAACTCAGCTATCTCTTATATCCCCTCCCCTGTTCCCGCCTCCATGCTCCAAAACCCTGACCCTCAAATGTCCTCCCAAGCAGACATCACTACTACTGCGAGACTGCACTGGCCAGCAGAGGGGCATTCTGACTTTTGAGTTGCTCTCCCATGAGCACAAGCGGTGGCGAGACCATGGAGCTGTCGGGCAGAGGGAGCAGTGCCAGGCCCAGGACGGCAGTGGTCCCCCGCAAGGGCAGACTCCCAGAGGGTCCAGCCCCACCTGAAGGCCTCTGTCACCGTGAGGCACCAGGGGGTAGTGGCTCAGAGCCAGACTTCCTGCGCTCAAATCCCAGCTCACCCCCACCAGCAGTCTGCCCTAAGCCTTAGTTGCCTTACTATAAAACAAGGGCGATATTACTACCAGTCTTACGTGGCTATTGTAAGTATTAACTGGAATAACTTGCTACAGTACTTCACACAGGGTTGGACACTTGATCAGAGGTCAGTAAATGTTGCCACTAATATCAACCCAATTGAAACCAACAGTTTCACATGAGCTTCTGCATTAGCCTCTGAGGTATCCTGAGGTCTGAAGTCTCCACCCCTTCCTGTGGATCCAGCCACCAGGTTGATCTTCCTGAGAATCCATCTCACTCCATCCTTCCTTCCCTCTTATGGCTCTTCATTGCACACGGGACAATTCCCAACCTCTCAGACTGGCATTTGATGCCCTTCACACTTGGGATCTGTCACTTTTGTAGCTTATATCCAGTGGTTCTCCATTCCCAGCCTTTGTTTCCAGCCATCTGATTTACCCACAGTCTTCCCAAGCGTTCCCCGGAGCTATTGGCTCCTGTGCTTGCTAGAGATGGCAGGCCATCTTCAGCCATCTCTGCCCCCCGTTCCCAGCTCTTCCTCAAAGCTTTTCCACCAGAGCTAGACCCTATCTCCCATGCCCTGAATTACTGCCACCATCACCATGAGGATATGGTTCATGTGACAAATAATCAAGTGTTGCCTCTAACATGTTTTCTGTGCTCGTTTGTACTGTTATTCAGGCATCTCCCCGTTATTTAATCAGGAGATCATGTGTTTCTTATTATAGCATTGAAAACTAAGAATATATCTTCTCTTTTTTTTTATATGTCCCATAGCATTTTGTGCTTACTTAATGTTAACTGGGAAAATATGGCTACTATTAGACTATACATTAATAGAAGCAGGACTTTCTCTATCCAATCCATGTCCACAGCAGCATGTGCACATAAGCAATTATTAAACAAGGAGACAGACTATGAAGAGGAGGAAGCCTTTCTCAGTTCCTTCCAATGGATGCAGAGTATGCAAGAGATGCAAGCAATGGCATAGCCACCCTATATACCCAGACAATGGTATATTTTTCCCGAGTATGAGAATCCCGGACAAGTGTTAGCAATTCCCATGAGACCATGGCCCGTAGCTGTCATTGCTGCACATTCCACCATGACAGAGGTGCCCCACCAGAGGTCAGCAGTTGAGAGAAGCCTTGGTCTATAGTTCTCAGAACTGAGAGGTGGCTCTCAGTTCATCCAAAAAAGAGGAAATGCTAAGGGAGCCCAAACACACAACTTCAGTGCTTCCTGGAGTCAGAGCACTTGCACGCTTATAATATTTTAGCACTTCACTAGAACGGTTCTGAAAAGAGATTACATTGGTCACAGCAATAGTCCCCCCCAGATATTTTCTGGCCCCATTTACTGGGCCTTGGTCATGCTTTGATGCATATCTTGCTTACGGACTTTGCGCAAGTACCACCCACTTCTCTTATTGTCCCCACAATCCCTGGGCAACCCTAAACCTTCAAAAAGATATTAACTAAAGCCCCAACCCCACACAATTTCTTCTCATAGCATCACAACTTACCTATCACCTTGACCCTTAGGACCTCACTGAACATTTTGGCGTGGGAATGGCAATTATCGGCGACACACTGGTATTCCACATCCTTGGTTGGTTTATCTTTGAAGACTGCAGGATCGTTGGAGTTCTTTGTACAACCCTCCAGAACTCTATTTGCTTTTAAAAGCTGATAAGCAATAGGCCAAGTTCCATTTATCGATTGGCAACTGACTTCTATGGTCTGCCCTTTTATGACTTCGGACTGGGCATCGTGAGAAATCCTCGGCTCAGAGAGCATTTCTAGAACCACAGAGGGAAAGACCGTGTATTAATACAGTGTTGGAAGCAGGAGCTGAGCCTCCAGTCCAAGAGGTTTCCTTCTCCAAAGTCTGGGCTTTGCTTTCTCTGTCACTGTAATTTCAAATGCCTGCCTTGTCTACTACCTTCACAGGACTCCTATCATGTTGTGTGTGTGTGTGTGTGTGTGTGTGTGGTGAGACAGGAGATGGAAAGAGAAGTGCAATAAGCAAAATAAAAGAATGACACAATTTCAAGGAAAGCATTACATCTCCATCAATTCATATTTATATTTTAATAGAACTCTCATGCACACGTACTCATAAATCTACTTCTCTGGTGTCGAGCAAAGACACAGCAAAGCATAAGAAAAGTATAAGAAGTATTCAGATAAAATGTATTTGAAAACAAATTCTTCTGAGTATCTCAGCCTCTCCTGGTAGTGAATTGCATTCCTCAGGAGACAAGAATTCTACCAGGTCATGATTTAGATATTAGCTTATATATAAGCTTTATAAAATGAAATGAGCTCCTCCTAAGAACTACAAAAAAATTAAAACGTAACAACTCACATTTGCGTCTTGCATTCTTTCCTTTTGAGTTAGGTGGGTGGCTAGAGAGTCTACAATAGGCTAAAACATTCTGGTTCATTTGAGACTAAAATCTTGGCTGGATAAATCACAGCCACAGGTTAAACTAAAGGACTATGGTTGAATAATAACATGGACAGTGACAGCTTGACTGGAGATCTATGTTCATCAAGACCGTTGCTACTCAAAGCGTGGTCCAGGGGCCAGCAGCACCCCTCGTTAGAGATGCTGAATCAGGCCCCCACACAGCCTACTGAGTCAGAACCTGTGTCCGGGTCTTGTATGCACACGCAAGCCTGAGAAGTCCAGCTCTTGGAGGTCCAATACTGTGTTTCTCCGAAAATAAGACAGGGTCTTATATTTATTTTTTCCTCAAGAAGACACCCTAGGGCTTATTTTCAGGGGATGTGTTATTTTTTTTTTTACAACGATCTACATTTATTCAAATATAGTTAAGTCATCTTCTTCTGGAACATCATCATAACTCTCCAAACCCTGACTTCCATCCTGAATTTCTTGTGACTCTATTTCCTTTAGAACCATTGACCCCAATCTCTCATGTCGAGCAATAGAGCTCTCTTGGGGCAGATGAGAAGGGCTGCTTGTCTTCTTTACCGTTCTGCGACAAAATGCATGGGTTGTGCAGATATGCTGCGTAGCCACACCCGTCACTATGTCTTATTTTTTGGGTAGGGCTTATATTGCGCAAATGCTTAGAAATCCTGCTAGGACTTATTTTATGGGTAGGTCTAATTTTCGGGGAAATATGGTACCTACATTCCGCCCACCAGAAGTCCTGCGCCTTTTGGTTAGCCAGGTTATGGATAAAAATCTGGGACTTAGATCTTCTTAAATTTTAACGTTGACTAAGCAGTGTTTCCCTTGTGACCTTTCGGGTGGGTGCCTGCTCCAGGGGCCAGCATCTTGCCCATTCAGAGTCTGCACCATCAGCACACCGTCACAGTAAAGCTATGAACTTGATTTTGGCCAGCGTTTCCTTGCACGGCCTCTCTCCTGAGCTCTGAGCGGGAATACCCACTTCTCTTCAGCCTCTCCATCTCACCCTTCTCTCTCTCCCTTCAGTACTTCCCCTGCCTGGGTCTGATCTACCTTCAGGCTGGACAGAGTGGCAGCTGGCGACAAATCCCCTCCCTCCCATCAATCCCGGACACCCTCTGAGTCAGCGAGGCCGTACTCACCACACACCGATATCTGGACTGTGTTGCTTTTCTTGACTACTTTGCCGATGGCGGCGGTGCAGGTGTACGCCCCGCTGTCCCACTCCGAGGCTATCTTGGTGAAATTTTGAGCCTGTGACACAATCATGTCTTCCTTCTGGAGGGTGAAGTTGGCTGCAGGCGCTCCTGGGATGGAGCATGACAGGTTCAAGCTCTCGCCTTGGTCCAGACGTGAAGAGGAAAATTCCAGTTGCATCGTGAGAAATCCTCGGCTCAGAGAGCATTTCTAGAACCACGGAGGGAAAGACCGTGATTAATACAGTGTTGGAAGCAGGAGCTGAGCTCAGTCCAAAGAGGTTTCTTCTCCAAAGTCTGGGCTTTGCTTTCTCTGTCACTGTAATTTCAAATGCCTGCCTTGTCTATACCTTCACGGACTCCTATCATGGTGTGTGTGTGTGGTGTGTGTGTGTGTGTGTGTGTGTGTGTGTGTGTGTGTGTGTGTGTGTGTGTGTGTGTGTGGTGAGACAGGAGATGGAAGAGAAGTGCAATAAGCAAAATAAAAGGATGACACAATTTCGGCGGACGTGGTGGCTTCACGGCTGTAATCTAGCTCTCGGGGAGCCGAGCGGGCGGATTGCTCAGGTCAGGAGTTCGAACCAGCCTGAGCAAGAGAGACCTGTCTCTACTATAAATAGAAAGAAATTAATGGCCAACTAATATATATAGAAAAATTAGCCGGCCATGGTGGCACTGCCTGTAGTCCAGCTACTCGGAGGCTGAGGCAGGAGATTGCTTGAGCAGGAGATTGAGGTTGCTGTGAGCTAGGCTGACGCCACGGCACTCATCTAGCCTGGGAACAATGAGATCTGTCTCAAAAAAAAAAAAAAAGAATGACACAATTTCAAGGAAGATTACATCTCCATCAATTCATATTTATATTTTAATAGAACTCTCATGCACACGTACTCATAATCTATTCTCTGGTGTCGAGCAAAGACACAGCAAAGCATAAGAAAAGTATAAGAAGTATTCAGACAAAATGTATTTGAAAACAAATTCTTCTGAGTATCTCAGCCTCTCCTAGTAGTGAATGCATTCCTCAGGAGACAAGAATTCTACAGGTCATGATTTAGATATTAGCTAATATATAAGCTTTATAAAATGAAATGAGCTCCTCCTAAGAACTACAAAAAATTAAAACGTAAAACTCCACATTTGCGTCTTGCATTCTTCCTTTGAGTTAGGTGGGTGGCTAGAGAGTCCACAATAGGCTAAAACACTATCTGGTTCATTGAGACTAAAATCTTGGCTGGATAAATCACAGCCACAGGTTAACTAAAGGACTATGGTTGAATAATAACATGGACAGTGACAGCTTGACTGGAGATCTATGTTCATCAAGACCTTGCTACTCAAAGCGTGGTCCAGGGCCAGCAGCACCCCTCGTTAGAGATGCTGAATCAGGCCCCACACAACCTACTGAGTCAGAACCTGTGTCCGGGTCTTGTATGCACACGCAAGCCTGAGAAGTCCAGCTTTGGAGGTCCAATACTGGTTTCTCCGAAAATAAGACAGGGTCTTATATTTATTTTTCCTCAAGAAGAACACCTAGCGTTATTTTCAGGGATGTGTTATTTTTTTACAACAATCTACATTTATTCAAATATAGTTAAGTCATCTTCTTCTGGAACATCATCGATACATCTCCAAACCCTGATCCATCCGAATTTCTTGTGACTCTATTTCCTTTAGAACCATTGACCCAATCTCTCATGTCGAGCAATAGAGCTCTCTTGGGGCAGATGAGAAGGCTGCTTGTCTTCTTTACCGTTCTGCGACAAAATGCATGGGTTGTGCAGATATGCTGCGTAGCACACCCCACTATGTCTTATTTTTGGGTAGGGCTTATTTGCGCAAATGCTTAAGAATCGTGTCTAGGACTTATTTTATGGGTAGGTCTAATTTTCGGGGAAATACGGTACCTCATCCCGCCACAGAAGTCCTGCGCCTTTTGGTTAGCCAGGTTATAGATAAAATCTGGGACTTAGATCTTCTTAAATTTTAACGTTGACTAAGCAGTGTTTCCCCTGTGACCTTTCGGGTGGGTGCCTGCTCCAGGGGCCAGCATCTTGCCATTCGGAGTCTGCACCATCAGCACACCGTCACAATAAAGCTGTGAACTTGATTTTGGCCGGCTTTCCTTGCACGGCTTCTCTCCTGTGCTCTCAGCGGAATCCCACTTCTCTTCAGCCTCTCCATCTCACCCTTCTTCTCTCCCTTCAGTACTTCCCTGCCTGGTCTGATTACCTTCAGGCTGGACAGGGTGGCAGCTGGCGACAAATCCCCTCCCGTCACATCATCCCG